GGATTAAAAAAGCGCCTGGAGCCGTTGTGCAAGTCGTCCACAGGATGCGCGAGTTCTGCTTCGACGGCCGCAAGGAAGTGGCAAGCAGCGCTCAAAGCGTCATGGTGGTGGCTGCGAAGCACTGCTTCACCGAAGCAGAAACCGATGTCGTCCGACATCTTTTTGTTCAAGATCTGATCTGCATCCTACTGCGAGCCGACGACAAGGTGCGATTGCAAGCCTGCGCCGCCTTTGCGAGCTGCGGGCCAAGCCTGCTTGGAACGTACAACCCAGCCGTCACAGAGGCACTACTGCACTTTTGCAGCAGCACAAGAAGTGACAGCTGCAAAAGCATGGGCCTCAAGGCTTTACAAGCTTTCTTGGATCATGACCGGGCTCTCTGCACCGTGGTTGAGCCTAGGCTGGGCGAGCTGCAGAGGCTGAGGAGCTTGGGACCGCATGAGGAGATGGCCGTCGCGGACATCACCTTCCTCTGCGCAATGGAGTCCTTTCGCATTGCCGCAGAGGACCGAGCACGGGAAATACTGGCGATCTGTTGCGGAGCATTGTGCTGCCCCGGATCACTGTTGGCTTGCCCCGACGGCAACCCATGGCATTCTATGCTGCGGCAGATATAGATTAACTTGACAGTTTGGGATTTCCTAGACAAATGCACACACATATGTACTCCGTAGCTGTAGCACACACATCACGAAATAAAGCTCCGGTGCGTGGAGATCTGCTCGTGCTATTTAGAGCTTCGAGACTTGACCATGCCGTGTTCGAGCTTTTTCGCAAAAGGACTGTTCGACATCAGACTTGGCCACAGGGTAAGACCAGGGGATATCGGAGGCTTTCGGGGATAAGATTTAGGTGACCTAGGGGGTAAGAGCTTTGTTGAGAAAGAAGCCGTCCCCCATCCAGCCAAAACACAATCAAGGATTGTCCAGTACCAGAACACCAAGAAGTCAGGACTCCATCAGCCCGACAGTGCTATAGAACCTGAACCACAATAGTACATCATAGCCTAAGGTCCCTATGCAACCGAATGCCCACAGACGATCTTAAGCTGTAAGGCTGTAATGGTAGGTCCCAAACCTGCCGGAATCAATGTCGGAGCCGCCGATTCCCATGCCCTGATCCCTGAAGGCTCTAGACTCTACTAAACCTTAAACCCGAACTCCCGAAGCATTATACCCTAGACCCTGGAAGCGAATACACTTGCGGTCTCTGACAGGAACTCCGAAATCGGCCTCTCAGCCTCGCAGTGGCTGGACGCCGTGTTGGAGAACCCAGCTTCTGGCACAGGAGTATTTATGGGTTCAGGGGTTCAGGGTTTAGGGTTTAGGGTTTAGGGTATATCAGAGACCAATGTTATGTGTTATTGATATGATGTTCTAGACAATACAACATAAGATGATATAACATAACACAACATAGCATAAGATAGGATAAGTAACTCAGTGGAACAGAGATATAGAAAGAGAGAAATGAAGAAAGATAGACCGATGGGGTAAAATACCATATGACATTGGCATACAACCGAATTTTGTATGTTGTCATGATGTATCATATTCCAAAATATTGGTATATTGGTTTCATATGCGAATTTTAAAAGTCTATCATGCTATGTAATATTTTATAATCTGTCATGTTATTTTCAATGCTTATAATAGGTTAGATATTCTTTACTCTCCTATAACCTTGTATAATGTGAACAACAATACTGTATATTATGCTATGTCTTATGATTAGCGCATATTATGGAATAGTGGACTATTTCAGAAGATTGTATGTTTTTTCGAGTAATAAGTACTACTATATTATATGGCCTCGTATTGTATAATCTATGCTAAATGTTACCGTACATATTATGTGTTGTATAGTGAACAGGAGCCCTACCCCTGCGGACTTCGGCGTGAGGTCGCCAGAAGAGCTCGCTTGGGTGCTCCGGGAGTATGGCGAGGCTTGCCATTTCCCGGATTTAGGGTTTAGGGTTTCCCTGCATTTTATCGAACATCGGCTTTGTCAAGCGTGATCCGACACAGCAAGCTTTGGGAGCCGAGAAGCCCGCGTAGAACAACTGTCTGCAGGACCGTGATCCCCTCCTCGCAGCGCGCCTTGCCGAGGCCCCGCCCAAACAAACCCGACGGCTGGTTGATGGCACTTGCGGTTGCTGCAATGAACATATGGTATATGCTGAGATAGAATCTGTAATATAGAAGCATATTTTTGTCAGACAATGTAAACTTTACATGACGACGTATATGAATAATTCACCGTATACCACATATCAGGAATGATAATCTGTTTTTTAGCAGAAAGCATATTAACAGATAGCAGTAGAGAATAGAGAACAGATAGTATGTCATACAAAATATAGAATATGTACACGTTAAAGATTGTCAAATGTTTTTTTTATTGTGTATAGCAAAGAATAAAGAGCATATAATATATAATGCATACTATAAGATGGTTAAGATATGACATATCAGACATCATGAAACAAATATCACACATAGCAGATTTCAGATATGCTCAAATCTGTAATATACCATACCCTACCTGTCACATATCATATATCACATATCAGAGACAGCAGATAGCAGATAAACAATATATATATATATATACATACTGTCTTCCGAACATAAAAAGGGGTGCAATGCATAATGCAGATCGCATATATATATATATACACATGATATAGCACGATATCAATATATGTATGTGTATATCATGTAAGTTGTAATATATATATATATATATATACGCACGCACATATATACCCAAACATGTCCCATAACAGACCATACATCATACATAATATGCACAACATACTGTATACGATACCAAATGCTAGTAATCAATATGTCATATCTTATGTATCATTTAAGATATTCTATATCTCAGGCATCACTTAACAGGTACTATGCACTACAGACTATACAGCACAGGTTTCATATATGATATATAACATATAGTTTGTGGGTTTCTTGTATGGCATACAATAACCTGTTACATACAAACATATGACAGAGAACAGAATGCTCACATACACATGGACATATCTATATATATATATATATCTATATATATATACACATGTAGCATAACTGACATATCCAATGCATAACATAACAAGGCATATGTTATATGTCAAAGGTATTATGCACTATTCCTTTGATCCATAATACATGTATATGTATATCTAACGAAAGTATTTGACATATATATATATATGTATATATATATATATATACACAAATACTCCATGAGGACTTGGGATTCCGGATTGCGCACGAACACCCGAAGAAGAGAAGCTGATGCGTGAAGGCGTTGCACTCGCGTTTTGCAGAGTGATGGTGCACCCGGAGTTTGCTGTCCTGAATTGCCAACAGGTTTCGGGTTCAGGATTCAGGGTTTTAGGGTTTAGGGCTTAGGGTGAAGGGTTCTGTGAAAGACATGTTGGCTTGAGTAGAAGACTGATATGCCAGACGTTTTTAAGACAAGTAGCAGCACCAGCTCCGATCTTGCAACGTGCCGCCCCGATCTTGAGCCCCTTAGCCCGAAGCCTTGTGGACTCGGGGCTGGCGCACTAAGTCTAGGGCATTTTCAAGTGGGTAGTTACCGTTGTAGGAGCCTTATAGAAGGTCTATATACCTTTCCGGAGCCTTTTGGAAGCCCTGTACCCTAAACTCCCCACCTGTAGTTTCCTTTAACTAAGTTTTCAGGCCATATGCGCCCGGCGCCCGTTGCGACGCACAACGGAGCTCGCCGAGGCCTCGACCCTATTCTCGCGGTTCAAGATTTTTTTTGAGGAACCCTGCTAATTAATATGGTGATTCGTACCTCTAATATTGTCATTACTACTACTACTAGTATTTCTCCATTTTTGCAATTAGTTGTATTCTTGTTCGTATTCTTCCTCCGCTTGTCATTGTCAGCTGCCGCTCCACTTATCCACCCACTTCGCTTTTCAAGCTATGTTCGTGACCACAGCTTGAGATATTTGTCCGTGGGGAGGGATGCCGTGCATACTCCTGCTCGGGAGGGACCCTGTGTTCTGGACGTCTTCGCAGAGATCTTAAATGCAAAATCACCTATACACACACGGTCCGAAACTACGTCGGATGCATCGTGGTAGACAACAACACACTAAACAGAAGCAATCCATGACACTAAGTTTGGGATGGCTCGCATGGCTTCTCTAAGACGGGAATCACCAACACCAGCCAAAAACAGGCCCTTCAAGCATGAAATAATTAGGGTCCCGTAGGAAGCTTCATCTCGACACACAGGGACAAACTTTGATCTTGTATAGTAGTACAGAGTCTGTTTTGTTTATCATGCTCTTCGCTCACCGCTGGCTGTTGTGTTGGGGCGTGTGACGGTTCTGGGCGTCATGAATCAAGATGCGACATACATCAAGCACTTGCCGCAGTCTTGCCGCCATCACGAAGTTGCGCCCACTTGCTTAAACCTCAAACCAAAAACTAAACCCGAGACCACATGTAGACCCGACACGAGATCCGAAACCCTAAACCCCAAGAGTAAGCCCGAAACCAGAAACCAGAAACCCTAAACCCTAAACCCTAAACCCCAGAAGCCCTAAACCTCAATTCTCTTCCGTGAAGGTCGTGGCTTACGTCAAGGCAAAGACCCTTGGCAAGAATCCGTTCGAGCAGCCGGCACGGCTGACTTTCCAGGCAGGATGGTAAAGGATCTAGCTTCAGGGATTCACCAAGTGTCCAAGGTTGCTGCTTGAACTTGAAGCTGTTTTGTCTCGGGGCGGCTTAAAGCCTAAAGCCAACATCCCTGAACCCAAAGCCCTGTGCCCTGCATGGCTGAAGGATGGAATCGGATAGAATCCGCCACACTCTCCTGCTTCCGAGGGCTCCGAATCCCCGGCATCTAGTCAACCCAAAGAAGACAAGCCGGAGAGCAAGCAAAAGATGGCGGAAGAGCCGAAGGGTTGGGGGGGGTTTAGGGTTTTTAGGGGTTTAGGGGTTTAGGGTTCAGGGTTTCGGCATAGTCGGATTTGCAGGCAATTCGCTCCCACCTCAACCAGGAGTTCTCACAGTGGCTGGGCTTGTCAGAGTGTTTTTGTGCGCTTTTCGTATTCAGGCTCTGTGCTCTTCCTTGCATATATATATATATACATATGT